GGACGTGAGTGGAAACGTTCGATCAGAGTTTGGGCATTAATCCAGAGTTGAAAAAGTGGTTAGTTAAAAATTTCGAACAAAGTTGTACTTTTAGTAATTAATTACTTATTAAAAACGTTCGAATGACATTTATTACTAGCTATTATAGAGTTGTTCATATAACCTCGACCATTACAATTATTATATTTTGAACGACAAATCTACGTCCCACGGCAAAGTTGAATGTTAACCTATTGAAAAAGTAACTTGTTGAAAATTTCGAATAAAGTTGTACTTTAAATAATTATTTATTAAAAATGAATGACATTTATTACTAGCTATTATAAAGTTGTTCATATAACCTCGACTATTACAATTATCATATTTTGAACGACAAATCTACGTCCCACGGCAAAGTTGAGCGTTAACCTATTGAAAAAGTAACTGGTTGAAAATTTCGAATAAAGTTGTTAAGTAATTACTTGTTAAAAACGAATGACATTTATTACTAGCTATTATAGAGTTGTTCATATAACCTCGATCATTACAATTATTATATTTTGAACGACAAATTATCATAAAGTAACTTTATTCGTAACTTCAACTTGATTAAATTTTGTCCATCACAGAACAAATCGGTGGTTTGATTCTGCGCGATTCCATTCCTGTATACGACAGTTCCATTATCCGATAAAGTCCACGAGGAGGAGTAACCTTCTCCAATATAACACGAGCTCTATTGCTTCTGTTCCTCCCTGCCGTGAGACGATTTGACATAAACATAATTGCACCCGTGTTAAAGATCGTGTTCAAGCCCCTAGAACAAGCAAATCGTCAATTCTGTAATATCTACTTCGATAAAATTTTTAATCGCACAAACGAATATTTCCTTTGCTTTTCTTTCTTCCTTTTCGTATTAACAATGTTGTACATTAATGTTGGACACTCGACCATTCGATATTTCGCTTCGATTCAATTCTATATTAATGGATGGATTATTCGAATTTGAGCGATTCAATATTTTACTTTGATATAATTCTATATTAATGGATTATTCG